ATATATATATATATATATATATATTGGGACCAGATTTGAAATTATGGATTGTCACTGCCATTTGTTTTGAGGAACTCTTGTCTTTATCAAGCCCTTAGTCATCAATTCTCGGCCACAACTTGTCTCTTTCCTCAAATTTTGACATTTCATTCATGTTCTCTGTAAGTGGAATTAAATATTTAATTATAGTTTAAACGTTTGCTCGGATACAACATTAATGGCTCAACTCCTTTCTCGCCTGTTTGAATATTCCTGTTTTGACTTCAGCAACAACCCTCCACTCGAGTCTAAGTCCACTCTATGAAGTTATCTGATACACGGCGACTTTAATTCATTGGCCAAGCCAAACTTCTTTCGGCTTGCATTTCCTTTAATGAAATGAATTTCTACTTCCTTTTTAATACAAAAATTTAACTTATATATATGATATCTTAAATATTTAAATTGCCTCTACTGCAAAAAATTCATAATTTTAAAATTGAGTCATTGATCTCGTGTGTATATATATCCTCGAAACTTCCTCGTAATTAAGTAGTAAAAGATATAGTATATGAGATTTAATCAAATATAAACATGGTTAATTGCAAATCTTATTCTCTAATCAGGTTCTATTAACATATGGTTATCATGGACTCGGAGTGTACAATATCATGACTCAGTGTAGTAAAAAGGAAATTAGCTTTGTTTCTATCAAAATAGAAAGAGAGAGACAAGGGTTTTCCACGTAATGAAATGGTCCCCCATTGTAGTCCTAGGGTTACTTCAAAGTAGCTTCTTCAAGTTAGCGACCTCCTTCAACTTATCTAATTAAACTCCTGAGTACGTGATTATGAGCTGTCCCTCACTTTTTCGATCGAATCGAGAGTATTTGATAAAACAAAAAGAAAATTAACTACAAATAAAAAGAGAAGAGAAGAAAAGCCCTTCAAATCTGCGAGCGGACCGCCACATCACTGCTACGCACCTCACCTACCTTGCTTGCTAATTTCTTCCATCAACCCCTTTTTATCCTACTTTTTTTT